GGGCACTATATGCAAGCTCTGCACCTTACTAGTCACCCTGAATCCAGGATGAACTGGCTTACACTTACAGATATGGGAATTAGCAAATGTATAGATGTAGTCCAGCCTGCAGCTCTAAACCTGTTTGCTAATGAGGCACCACGTCCTACAGCTGAAGAAACAGCCATGCCCCTGGTCGAGTGCCCTCACTCCCAGTGGGCCAGGTTAAGCCTCTGGCTTGATAAGCCATGGAAATTGCATCCACAGTCTAGTGGGAGATTTCCCGTTTGTAGACAATGTTCCCTTCCGCTGTCTTCCAGTCGTAAACGGATAGGGCTTAGATTTTTCATCCACTCATCGAGCGTAGTCAGGAAGCCGTCTTCGTACAGAGGGCACTAATTCAGCTGACTGGAAGGCTCAATGGATCTCTCCTGTAAGGCCTCAAGGCCACTGAGAGATCCCAAGAGAGGATGAGGCATGGTCTAGGAGGATTCAACCTCTGCGCACCTCATAAGAACCTTGTGCTTCCCCACCGATCTGCCACTCACAGGTTCGTGGCTCATACCCTTCTTGAGTACAATGAAGTGAGGGCTGAACCTCTCATCATTTGGGCTAGGGGGACAAGATCTATTGCATCCTTCACCAGAAGGATAGCAATTTCCACCCGAAGGACAACAACACTCTACCCTTGAACCGGAGTAACAGAATGCCACTGATGACAATGGGAAGGGCTGGGGAGTCCAGACACCTTGCCAATGGTCAGAGTGGGACTACGTTCGACTTACCTGAGACAGAGTTCCTGCGGCATTGTGGAACAAGGCTCACCATGACAGAGGACTTTGTGTCCTTTGAGACACTTGGTGAAGGGTGCACAGCACCAGCCTTGTCCCCCAGGTCTGTTGGGGAAGCCTCTGACATACGAAGGAGCCAAAGCTTGCCTGGGTTTGTCATACTGGCTTGAGATCAGACCTGGTGCATCAAAATGTCAGGAGGCAGAAGACTGCATCCGAACAGGCTTCAATGCTCAATTTCAGTGACTGGTCATCGAGGTAGCAAGAGCCAGAAACGCTGTGTGAGTAGTATGACCCAAGGAAGAATTAATTCCTGTTTTACTGACCACTTGGTGGCCATCTGCCAAATGGCAGATAGCCTAGGTGATGCAGCATCCACCTCCCATCCCCCGTTCGCTCGTTTGAGGTCTGCTATGAAACCTGCTTGAGGGTTCTAAGCAATCTGAGAATGAACTGTTGGTGCCACCTGGCTGCAAGAGGATAGACATTAGTCGGGCTTAACCACCGGTCCAGGCTACTGCAGGGTCAATACAGTTCTTGCAGGGCATTCCTTGGTGACAAGCAGGCGGAGATTGCTACATTGGGGGTCAAAGTATAGAACCCGACCCAAGCCGAGGCAGAATACTTTCTGCCCGCTTGCTGATGGTTGAGAATTGCTGGGCAAATTCTCTGAAGGTGTTGTCAGAGAGACCAACCTAGGAAATGGACTCAAGAAAGCGCACTTTCTGAGAAACTGCATTCCCATCAGGTTGAACCACAGGTGGCGCTTCTGGGACACTAATGTGGACATCGCCTTCCCCAGAGCCTGCGGCGTGACCTCCGTAGCCTGGAGAGCATAGTCAGTCATCGGATGCAGTTCCTGCATGCTCTGGGTCGGGACCACCCTTGTGCGATCCCTGGCCTAAACACCTGCAGGACAGCCAAGGGTGGGGAGCTTGTCCAGAAGCAGTATAACCTCTCGCCCCTAGGGATGAGGTAACTTAGGTGCTCTGGACAGGAGTCTCGGACTGCCCCACCAGGTGGTGGCATTTTGCACGCAAACTGCACTGCAATCGCTCTCTCCATCGGGGGACCCTGTATATCTCTTCGCTGGACCGCCGTCAAGGGTGGTGAGAACAGAGGGATCTGTGTATCGTGTTATAGCAGAAAGGTGCCTTCCACGATTTCATCAGCTCTTTGTGCACTTCCGGGAAGAAAGGAACTGGGGCGAAGCATGGCAGAGTGTCACGCTCGGTCTCCAAGAACTAGCCAACCAAGAGAGCCAAGGACAGGGTTGAGGAGACCACTCAAGCCTGGCGCTCTCTGCTGCCCGGTTAAGCACGGCTGCCATCGGCTGCCGGTTCAGTAGATTCATCTGCTTTCGATCGGACGGGAAGCAGCTGAGGTGATTTGCGGTCTTTCTTTAAAAAAGAACACGAGCCGTGAGCGCAACGTGCCGATTGCCATGTCCTCACAAGAAGGACATAAACCATCCACAAATGCTGCTTCAGCATGGGCACAGCCCAAACACTGAACACAGCGATCGTGCCTGTCAGAAGGTGAGATGTACAAACCGCAACCAGAAGGGCACGGATGGAAAGCCATGTTGTAAACACACACAAATCCACCCGTGAAGCTCTTTTAGAGAAATTGCTCTTTTAGGAGAAAATTTGCTCTCAAAGATTGCCATTAAAGCACCCAGGGGTACTCTCACTGCACTTATCTGTGTATAAGCAAGAGAGAAACCACTACTTGTGCCATAGATCCAACAACATTGGATCGGAGATTGAGAGGTGAATGAAGTGCTGCATCTCCAAAAGAGACACTGCATCAGCTCCGAAGAACAAAACGAGTGAGCAAATGCAACACTGGCCTATTTATACCCGGATATCCAGGGAGTGGCCAGCTATGCAAATTTTGCTTGCAAATTGGCCTTTTCTCAATGATGTTAGAGGTGTCTGGGCTCCCAAGTGCGACACCTAGTGTCGGAACTTCGACACAACGTCGAAGTGACTGACTGAAAGGGAACATCAATCATCTTAGCTGTTAAAGGGGTCATATGATGTTGCTAAAAAGAACATTATTTTGTGTATTTGGTGTAATGAAATGTGTATATGCGGTTCAAAAAACACATTATTTTCCACATACTGTACATTATTGTTTCTCCTCTATACCCCGCCTTTCTGAAACGCATCGATTTTTACAAAGCTCATCGGTCTGAAAAGCGAGGTGTGCTCTGATTGGCCAGCTATCTAGTGCATTGTAATTGGCCGAATATCTCAAGCGTGTAGCGGAAATGTTACGCCCCTTACCATACTGTGATGCCGTGTCCCGGCCAGAGCGACAAGACAAAAACATTAAAACCCATTGTAAACGAGGCATTTGTTGCATCCAGTGGGAACATAATTACGGATTATAATGACTTATACTGTCTTTTTACGCATTGCGTTGCATCGCGCCGTGTAAACATAAAACCATGTCTGCAATTTTTATCGGAGAAATGACAAACAACAAGCGCTACTCTACACTGCCCAAAACTCGCGTTTGAATCATCAGTGGCAAATCCTTTAAATATGAAAACGTACTTACAGTCTGTGAGTCAGAACAGCCGGCATTGTAGTCTACTCTACCAGGATCAGGAAACAGTCTTCCATAAAATGTGCTGCACACATCTGAATATTTGGTTTGAACTGTTGTGGAACAGGGTTGTAAATACAACTTAACCACTGATTTCTAGTCGTGTCCTCTTTTGGAAGACCAAACAAAGTAGTTTCGCTTTCACAACGAAACACACAGCATCACACACGGCGGGCTAGAGTGAGCGGAGGCCGGAGGCCTAGAGTGAGGAACGGCCGGCGGGCTTGAGAACGGCGCAGCCAGTGGATTCGACGAAGGAGCGGCCAGCGGGCTTGCGGCAACCACATGTGACGACCCCAGGCTGGACACTGTTTCGTCCACAGTGAACGCCGATCCGACGATCCACAGCACAAAGTTGATGTATTTCCTCAGCGGCCAGAAGGGATCAGCTCTAGGCATGACGAAGCGGATATCGTCCTCTTTTGGAAGACCAAACAAAGTAGTTTCGCTTTCACAACGAAACACACAGCATCTTCACAACATGGCAGTGGCAACAACAATACTACAGCGAGAATAAAAGTTACTTTCTTTGCGCAAACATTTGGGCGGCGTTATGCAAATCTTCCCACATCGTGAAGTAGACATGTGGGGGCGTGTTAGAACGAGCTGTTTTAGGTAGGCGTGGTTGACTCTTAACTTTTATAAAGAATATCTCTTTGGATTTGAGACTTTAGTCTTTGCAACTTTACAGATCTTCTTTATGCACCAAGAGCTTGTAACACTTCAAAGAGAAAGGAAACAATTAAATCGCATCATATGACCCCTTTAACATGAAATGTTGTAATCTGTGTAGGCCATAATTTATATATGTACACTACCATTTCAAAGTTTGGGGCCAGTAAGTTTTTTGTTGTTGTTGTTGAAATTAATTAATACTTTCATTAAGCAAGGGCACGTTCAATTGATCAAAGGTGACAAAGGCATTTATGTTACAAAATATTTCTATTTCAGAGTAATGCTGTTCTTTTGAACTTTCTATTCGTCAAAAAATCCTGAAAAAAATTTACCACAGGTTCCACAAAAATATTATGATCCATCTCCCTGCTGGACTCTGAAGAAACAAACCTAGAAGCCGAAGAAGCTTGAAGAGAAGCTACTACTCGCCACTACTCGCCGTAGAAGAGCCCTGGCAGAGGAAGGACTCCTCTAAAAGTTTTATAACCTAGGGAGTTTATGGGGAGTTTACCCCATAAGCGTACAACGCAAAGCTCATTCCCTTATCTCGGGGAACTGAGGTTACGAAAGTAACTGGAGCAATTTCCCAAGAGCACCCAGAAAAAAAAACATGACAGAAATACCAAGTGTGATGATCTTCCTAACATAATACAGTGTTTATGAACAGAGATTTTCCTACTACAGGATAGTGAGAGTGTTCCGTGGGGTTTATAAAACACACCACTGGCCAGTAAAAATTGCTTTTAGCCAGCAGCAGGTACAAAATGCTATGAATAGACAACAGATGGAAAACAAGGATTGAGGGAGAGAGATAATGTGGTATAGAAGGAGAAAAATTGAGATAACCAACAGGAAAATATAAAATATTTTTTATAAATATTATTTGACTCTCACTATACAGTACACAAATCATCTGATGTGAGAAGAGGAATGTCTTACCATGTCTGTATCTGATACTGGTCCAAAACTGGTCACATAGATATCAGTCTTCACCTCTGTTACTCGATCTATGTCACAGAGCAAAAGGACACTCTAAATTACAACATTATCAACATTATTGTCTATAAGTCTACTCAATCTATAAGTCTAATGTGCTATATTGTTCAATGAAACCATATAATAGTTTTGTGTGGAGATTAAAGTGCGGTTACATTTGTGAAATTGCAGCAAAATTTCGTGAGCAAAAAAAAAAAAAATTCCAAATTTGTCAATACCATAGAAATGAATGAAGCACAGCTCATACGTCACTTTCAAACCAAGCAGCCTTCTGTTTGTCAACACTGTTAATGCATGCGACCAACATAAACATGAGCGAAACCTGTGTGGAAACTCCCAAAAGCACGGTTTCCTATTGGAATGTCTGGATTTCGTATGCGAAATTTTGCAGAGCAACGATTAATGTGACCTTTAACTGTGAACAATGATATAAATCAATGACATAATGACATTCAGCCTGCTCCTCACATAAAACTATTGTAAGCTTCATAAGACTTTAAATATAAGCAGAGGAGTCATGTGCACTTTTATGATGGTGTTTTTTGAAGCTTGATAAATCAGCATCCACTTTCCTAGACGGAAAAAAGAAGTTCAGATATCCTGCCTGAGATTTCCTTTGTGTTTCACAGATGAAGGGAAAATAATTTGGGGTTCAAATGACATAGAGGTGAAAAAAATATGACAATTTCTTCATATCTGACTTTAGCTTATCTTTAGTGGAACCATGGCAACACTTCATTCTGGCTCTTAGCTCAACCTCATGTCCACTGACTCCTGTGTATGTGTTTTTGTGTGCTAGGCTCTGTAAATCTCAAAAAGGAAATGTTTACAAGAAATCTATTTGCTTCATGGTGCTTTATTTGCCGTCGCTTGATCCATGATGTCTTTTATGCTGCCAAACTCAGAGCTTACAAACAATAGCAAGGGCCACAATATATATTAACACTGACAGACTACACAGGCAGGGTTTCTTGATTGTTAAGTGGAACTGAGATTGTAGGTTTTGTTTTCCTCTCCTTCAGTCAGGCATGGCAACTTCTCAGGTCATCAACACCTCGTTATAATAATTAGTTTATCAGAGGTAAAATCAATTCAGATTGACAATGCACATAAACAATGAGTCTCTTAAATGTTTTACATGTTATGTTATTGACACATTTTATTGAATCCAGACATTAAATTTTGTCCTGTGGTGCAATTTATGAAATTCCTAAAAAGAAAAACCCCAATCACAGTAATTTTGCTTATTAATACATCATTTACATCACCCCAACTTCAGGAAATAAGGGTGTTTCAGTGAGCTTGTGTGGAGTAAAATGACACAGCACTAATTCCCAAATCACACTCGTAGGTGTTCTTACCTCCAAGACCAGGTCTCAGCCTGTTGTCGTAGCCATCAAGCAGACGGTCCAAAATCCGTGTGAAAAGGGTAATGTTGTTTTTAAAGGCATCTGGGCCGGATACATCTGCCTCAGAACTACACAAGATACATTTTGGCATCTCAAAAGTCTGTTACATAGAGCTGCATGCAGAGATAGCTGTTCTCTACACACTTTCCAATAAAGTTATGAGAGGATGATCATCTGGCAAAAACACAAACATGACAGCTGTACCAAAACACGTGAGACTTCATCTTAGCAAACTTGTCTCTAAACGGCCAATCTACTAACGATTCCCTCAAGGTGTGTGTATATTTACACACAAATTCATATAATATTTAGCTATCTTTTTTTCTTTTTAGTAATTCTTCATTTTGTGACCATAATAAGTATGTATGAAAATATTGACTTTTTCAAAATAAATGTTGAACTAAGCATACTGTCATAATTTAGTTGCAACTGAGTAGCATCAAAGTCCCTTTCAAGGAAAGTCTGTTCACTCAGCGGCCATATTTGCAACGCCTACGGGCAGCTATTTTGGGCATCCAAGACCAAGTCCTATCTAAACAAATGGGGGAAATCCTAAAATGTTAATGTCAAATGACTTTAGCAATCAGCGATTTCTAAGTTTTTAAAACTTTTCTCAGTAATGAAAATAAAGCCCTAGGAGAACTGTTGTGTGTCTTTGATCAACACACAGCGGTGTTTCATTAAAGGCACAATATGTACGTTTTTTTATTAAAATATCCAAAAACCACTAGAACAGTGTTATATATTTTGCTGACTTGTGTACTTGAAGAATGTTTAAATCCAGAGAAATAAGCAATTTTAACTAGTGACACGGACCGTGTCTATAGTATCATTGTGTCGCCTGCCAATGATGTCATAACTCCTCGATTTTGTTTTGTAGAAAACATGGAAACACCAAAGATGCTTTAATATGTTATGCGTTTTAATAAAGTCTGTTACATAGAGCTGCATGCAGAGAAAGCTGTTCTCTACACACTTTCCAATAAAGTTATGAGAGGATGATCATCTGGCAAAAACACAAACATGACAGCTGTACCAAAACACGTGAGACTTCATCTTAGCAAACTTGTCTCTAAACGGCCAATCTACTAACGATTCCCTCAAGGTGTGTGTATATTTACATACAAATTCATATAATATTTAGCTATCTTTTTTTCTTTTTAGTAATTCTTCATTTTGTGACCATAATAAGTATGTATGAAAATATTGACTTTTTCAAAAAAAATGTTGAACTAAGCATACTGTCATAATTTAGTTGCAACTGAGTAGCATCAAAGCCCCTTTCAAGGAAAGTCTGTTCACTCAGCGGCCATATTTGCAACGCCTACGGGCAGCTATTTTGGGCATCCAAGACCAAGTCCTATCTAAACAAATGGGGGAAATCCTAAAATGTTAATGTCAAATGACTTTAGCAATCAGCGATTTCTAAGTTTTTAAAACTTTTCTCAGTAATGAAAATAAAGCCCTAGGAGAACTGTTGTGTGTCTTTGATCAACACACAGCGGTGTTTCATTAAAGGCACAATATGTACGTTTTTTTATTAAATCCTAAAATGTTAATGTCAAATGACTTTAGCAATCAGCGATTTCTAAGTTTTTAAAACTTTTCTCAGTAATGAAAATAAAGCCCTAGGAGAACTGTTGTGTGTCTTTGATCAACACAGAGCGGTGTTTCATTAAAGGCACAATATGTACGTTTTTTTATTAAAATATCCAAAAACCACTAGAACAGTGTTATATATTTTGCTGACTTGTGTACTTGAAGAATGTTTAAATCCAGAGAAATAAGCAATTTTAACTAGTGACACGGACCGTGTCTATAGTATCATTGTGTCGCCTGCCAATGATGTCATAACTCCTCGATTTTGTTTTGTAGAAAACATGGAAACACCAAAGATGCTTTAATATGTTATGCGTTTTAATAGACAGGTGACGTCCGGACAGAGTAGCATTATAACAGAACTTTCAAACGCATCTAGTATGATAAAACAGCCCTGCTTTCCCCCCCCCCCCATACGCACGACCAGAAGGAGCGGAAACGGTCGACTGTGGCATAATAAAAACTCCACTGCTTTCGAGCCATGTGTCACGCTCGTTCAGCGGCCTCGTTTTCGCTTAGACGGCTTTCAGCCTCACCCTGCTTCATTCTATTACGTTAATAATAATAGACCGTGTTTAATAGACCGTGTTTAATAGACAGGTGACGTCCGGACAGAGTAGCATTATAACAGAACTTTCAAACGCATCTAGTATGATAAAACAGCCCTGCTTTTCCCCCCCCCCACATACGCACGACCGGAAGGAGTGGAAGCGGTCGACTGTGGCATAATAAATGCTCCGCTGCTTTCGAGCCAGGTGTCACGCTCGTCTCTCATTAGCAATTGCTTAAGCGGCCTTGTTTCGCTTCGACGGCTTTCAGCCTCACTCTGCTTCATACTACGATGTTAATAAATCTTTAATACATTAGCTCATCCATGAACATGAGTCCCGTCGGATTGCATCGGCTGTGGGGATGAAGACAACTCCCATGACTCCACACTCAGTCACGGCGTCATCAAACTACACCTTTGTTTCTTTGTTTGTTTTGAATACGCGCCCTCTCGCGGCGGAAACTTACATATTGTGCCTTCAATGAATCCACGTTTTTAAACAAATCGAGTGAATTAATGATTCAGTGAACCATTAATAAAGGCAGTCACTTGCTTAGTTTCTGAATGAATCAGCCATTTGAACGAATCGATTGAATGAATGAATAAGTCTCACTGACTTAAGACAGGTATTTGCCACCACCTACTGGCGCTTTTAGTTGTATATAGTTTTAAAATAATTTTCAATAATTTCACTATTTATTTGTATTTTTGTATGTTGAATTAAAATATTTCTATCTAAAGCTACTTATGTTTCAGCTACTTTTCTGTAATGTCTATTCAGGGTTTTTTCTAAATGAACACAATGATCACTATTATCTTTAATAATAACTTTATCTTTAATCGGCACATGATGTGCATGTTAATTAATGACTACTGTGCTATGCAGATAACTGTCTAGTTATTCATCATCACCAACATAATATTTGTACGTCAAGCACCTGGCATCAGGTAAAGACAGCAGAAAATTTGTGTTTAGGCTGTTTCTGGCTGACTTCTGCCCTTTGCCAATATGAACGTATTTAAACAACAGATAAGAGATGAGTTTATGTTCTTCTGATTCAAGGGAATAGTCTGCCAAACTACCTGCTATCCACTCAATCTAGACAAAGAAGTTTCATCACCTTTCTATTGGTATCCTTGCATGAACATCATGAGAATGTTATCATGTTTACAGGTGTTACTGGCAGTATGTTGTTATGACAATGTTAAAAAACTATTCTATCACTCTAGTCATAACATGTATGTACAGCTGTAGTCAAAATTTTACATACACTTTGCAATATCTGCTAAATGTTAATGTTAATTGTAATAACAAAATAAGAGGGATCATTCAAAATGCATGTTGATTTTTATTTAGCACTGACCTGAATAAGATATATAGTCCACATATATAGTCCACAAGAGAAAATAATAGTTACATTTATAAAAATGACCCTGCTAAAAAGTTTACATTCGCTTGATTCTTAATACTGTGTTGTTACCTGCATGACCCACAGCTGTTTGTTTTTTTTCTTTCTTTTGATAGTTATTCATTAGTGCCTTGTTTGTCCTGAACAGTTAAACTGCCCGCTATTCTTCAGAAAAGTCCTTCAGGTCCCACAAATTCTTTGGTTTTCCAGCATCTTTTGATTATTTGAATCCTTTCCAACAATGACTGTATGATTTTGAGATCCTTCTTTTCACACTGAGGACAACTGAGGGACTTATATGCAACTATTACAAAAGGTTCAAATGCTCACTGATGCTCCAGAAGGAAACACGATGTATTAAGAACCAGGGGTGTAAACTTTTGAACTGAATGAAGATATGTACATTTTTCTTGTTTTGCCTGCCCTTCAGAAGATACTTACATGTTTCCCAGAAGACAAAATACAAAATTCAATTTACCCTGATCTTCAAATTCAAAATGTGTTCACCTCCTGGCTCTTAATGCATCGTGTTTCCTTCTGGAGCGTCAGTGAGCATTTGAACCTTTTGTAATAGTTGCATGTAAGTCCCTCAGTTGTCCTCAGTGTGAAAAGATGGATCACAAAATCATACAGTCATTGTTGGAAAGGGTTCAAATACGCAACAGATACTGGAAAACCAAAGAATTTGTGGGACCTGAAGGATTTTTCTGAACAGTATGCAGTTTAACTGTTCAGGATCAACAATGGACACAGTAATACGAATCACAGTATTAAGAGTCAAGCATATGTAAACTTTTGAACGGGGTCATTTTTGTAAATTCAGCTAATATTTTCTCTTGTGGACTATATGTAAATGTCTTTTATGTGAAATATCTTGTTCAGTTCAGTACTGAATGAAAAATAGCATGCATTTTGTATGATCCCTCTTATTTTGATAAAATAATTAACATTTTGCAGATACTGCAAAGTGTATGTAAAATTTTGACCACAACAATGTACTTGTGGAAATTTATTACCTTAATCTTGTTTACTTTTATTCCAAGTTGCCTTAATTACTTACTTAATTTAATTATAAAAATGATAATCTGTGGTAATAATTCAACAGGCTGTCTATTGAGATGAACGTGGAACATTCCTTTAAATTGTGATTAAATTGTGTATATTAAAGGGATAGTTCAAAAATGAAAATCATTTACTTTCCCTCATGTTGTTCCAAACCTGTATGACTGACTTTCTTCTATAGAAGATTTTTTTTTAAATGTTGAAAACCAAACAGTATTGGTGACCATTGACTTCCATTGTATGAACATAAAACAAAACATAAAAGAAATTTGGAAACACTTTCTATGAAGACCAAGCTTATAATGAATTATAGCCCCATTTATACGTACTTATAAATAAAGTGTTATATAATATAATATAATATAATATATATATAATACATATATTATATAAGTGTCTATAAATATACAGACTCATTAAGACCTGTTATAGAACTGTTATAATTACGTTTATATTATTTTTGTAATTACTAATAAGGCATGCATTTTCTTCTTCGGTGTGCATGCTGATAATCCATTATACACTGGTTTATAAATTATCAAATATAAAACAGTTCCAGAAACACTTGTTTGTTGTAACAATTAGTTATTATGTCTTTAATGGCTAATGTTTGCATTAGAGGTAATGAATAGTAATTTTGATTTTTGAAATCGATATCTTCTCAGCCATATTTCTTATAGCAGTTTGGAATTAAACTTTAAAATATTGTTGCAGTGTTTTGCTAGTATTTAACATTTTTAAAAGTTTTTTCAACTGTTTGTACTAATGATTTCTGTTTTTTCTTCATTATTTTGTTACAGGAATTATTGTTCATTAGTTACATTTACAAGTAAACAACTTAAACTGATAATGAGCACATCTTCATGGTTTCTTAACATTTGCTTTTAGAAAATTGCATCCTATGTTTTCACTTTACTTAAAGGGGTCATATGATGCTTTTTTAAAGATCATTATTTTGTGTATTTGGTGTAACAGAATATGTTGACATGCTTTAATGTTCAAAAAACACATTATTTTTCAAATACTGTACATTATCGTAGGTCCTCTATGCCCCGCCTCTCTCAAACGCTTTTAATATATATATATAATATATATATTATATAAGTGTCTATAAATATATTTATACAGACTCATTAAGACCTATACTGCGTTATAAGAACAGTTATAATTACGTTTATATTATTTTTGTAATTACTAATAAGGCATGCATTTTCTTCTTCGGTGTGCATGCTGATAATCCATTATACACTGGTTTATAAATTATCAAATATAAAACAGTTCCAGAACACTTGTTTGTTGTAACAAGTAGTTATTATGTCTTTAATGGCTAATGTTTTCATTAGAGGTAATGAATAGTAATTTAGATTTTTGAAATCGATATCTTCTCAGCCATATTGCTTATAGCAGTTTGGAATTAAGCTTTAAAATATTGTTGCAGTGTTTTGCTAGTATGTAACATTTTTAAAAGTTTTTTCAACTGTTTGTACTAATGATTTCTGTTTTTTCTTCATTATTTTGTTACAGGAATTATTGTTCATTAGTTACATTTACAAGTAAACAACTTAAACTGATAATGAGCACATCTTCATGGTTTCTTAACATTTGCTTTTAGAAAATTGCATCCTATGTTTTCACTTTACTTAAAGGGGTATTTGCGTGCACATTTGGGCAGCATTATGCTAATATTCCCACATAGTGAGGTAGATATGTGGGGGTGTGTTAGAACGAGCCGTTTTAGGGGGGCGTGGCAGAGTCTTAACTTTGATAAAGAATATCTCTTTGGTTTTGAGACTTTAGTCTTTGCAACTTCAGGGATCTTATCTATGCACAATCAGCTTGAAACACTCCAAAGAGAAAGGAAAACTTGAAATCGCATCAAAATGACCCCTTTAAAGCCATTAATGATGCATTTATATAGGTTAGTAACTAATAGTAGTACTCACAATAAGCATTTATAAGAACTCAACACAGCTGTTAATAACAATATATTCACTTATTTGACAGAAATACGTCTGAATTACTAAAAAGTCATTGCAACTAATATATTAACATTATAGCAATGCAGGTTGCATCTTTATAAATACATTCATGGAACCACACGGCTGACTAATTAATCCTTATAAATCAGTTTATAATGGATTATGAACATTGAAAAATAAAATGCATGACTTAGGTAATTATAAAAATAATATAAATGCAACTATAACTGTTCTTATAATGCAGTATAGGTCTTAATGAGTCTTTATAAATATGTTTATAAAATTGTAATACTTATAAATAATTATAAATGGAGCTATAATTCACTATAAGCATGGTCTTCATAGAAAGTGTTACCAGAAATTTCTCTAAATCTCTTTTATGTTCCACAGAAGAAATAAAGTCATACCGTTTTGGAACAAAATGAAGATAAGTAAATGATGACAGAATTACTCACATTTTTTTCCGTCCATTTCATATCTTTAAGTATACTGTAGGCTATTTTCAAATGGTGACAATTATACCTTCTTTTTTCTTTGAGAGAGAGAAAGAGACAGAGAGAGGGGGAGAGAAAGAGAGAGAGAGACGTTGGTATAACCATACTATTTTCGGCTTTACCTTGAAAAGCTCAGTGAAACTGACAAATGTCTTTTTGTTTTGCTTACCATGCACGCCATAAAGCCAGCAGAAACAGGTAGATTAGAAATCCATGCGAATGACCCCATCGCAGAGCCATTGTTGAGTTATTCCCTGCCGAAGAAGTTATTTCAGTCTTCAAGTTCGTCTTAAAAATGATTTATATAAGAATGAATCAAGGCAAAACTTCCAGTGCCATATTTCTGCTTGTAAGCGTTTTGCGTTTGTGCGCACGTATCGATCAATCAATGAGCTGGAGCCAGACAGCGAGCATTTGTTTCAAAAGTTTTACATTTTGAAACTGTTGCAATTATAACAGCCAGACTTACAGTGCTTTTACATTTTAAATGAGATCAATTAAAACTGTTCAACCAGAAGATGTGTGAAACTATCGCGGTCTCTTCGTTTAAGTTTCGATGTTAACCATTTTCACAGCCTCAGAAAACGAATCGATAATTAATGTGAAAAAATTACCTTCGATTCACCAAAGCGCAGCTCATTTGAGACAAAGAAATAAGAAAAGTTGCGCCCCTCAGCCTCGCGCTTCCAGAGGCGTCTCATCCGTAGATCGACGGAAACCCCCAGGGCGTCTGCATATAGACTGGCACGTTGAGAGCACTGATTAGTGAGATATGCCTTCTTCTATGAATCTTTAGGGAAACAAACCAGGGGCGACTCCTGCTCGCCAAGACACACAATCCGTCTATATATCCTGAGCTGCTCATTTGTGGGCTGAAGCGGCTTGTTTCAAATCCATAGGCGTGAGCCCGGAGAGCATCAAGTAGCCAAAATACGCAAGAGGGGACACCGGGTCCTAGAGCGAGCACAGCTCAGCATTTCTCATCCTCATGTCGTTCCAAAACTATATGACTTTGTTTCTTCTGTGGAAAATGAAAGAATTTGAAAAATGTCTCAGTATTTATTTTGCCCATCCAAAGGAAGTCATTGGTCACCAAAATGGTTGCCTACAGTATATTTTTCAAAATATGTTTTACTCAAACTTCAGCATAGTAGCCTATTTCTTAGATGTTCAAACGTTAGCTGTCTGTAAGCACACCAAGGCTGCATTTATTTGATTACAAATACAGAAATGTTGTGAAATTTTATTACATTTTAAAATAATTGTTTTCTATTTTAATATATTTTAAAATATTCCTGTGATGGCAAAGCTGAATTTTTAGCAGACATCACTCCAGTCTTCAGTGTCAGATCCTTCAGAAATCACTCTAATATGCTGATTTGGTGCTCAAGACACATTTCAACATTATCAGTGTTGAAAACAGTTGTGCTGCTTTATTTTACTGATTTATTAATTAATTTATTTATTTATTTGTGGAAACCGAAAATTCGGAATTCTTTGATGAACAGAAAGGTCAAAAGAACAGCATTTATTTGTAATAAAAATATTTTTTAACATGATAAATGTCTGTCATAAACTGTCACTTTTGGTCAGTTTAATGTGTCCTTGCTGAATATTTGAAGTGTGAAAGAGGGTCACATCTCTATCATGTATCATGTATCATGTATCATGTCTCAATTCAACATAATCCCCGTTAATTACTTCACTTCGGAAGATAAGGATCTTGCGTCCATCATTTAGTCTTTGTCAGATTATCATGTAAAAAACGTGCTGTCAAAGCGGTTTACAATGTAGACTGGTCTGGTGCAGGACCAAATTAGCATTTCTTATATGAAAACCAACAAGCAGGCAACTCCTAAATTATACGTTAAAGGTATTAAAAACTTTTTAAAGGTATTTTACTTGTTTGTTTACACACATGAACAGCTTTATTTAGCATTTAATTGTCTGTTGCCGTGGATAATAGGCTACTCCAGGAAATAACTATTTCAAGCGTAGCTATATTGTTGACATTTGTTGACATTTTCTGGCCTATAAAATGTATGGCCAGAGATCCAGACAAGCTCTGCGCGCAGAATGTACAGAAAGCTAAAACACTGACAGGGAACATAATCAATGTGTCAGTACCCAAGCGGCTAAAATGCATATATACAGCATAAACATTGTATGTGTCTGCAGATAGCACACATACGTATACATTCAGCTCACACACACGTATACATTGTGTCAAAGTCTTTCTAGAAAACAAGATACTTTGTTACAGAAAAACACTGGTTACTAAGAGAAAGATATCATGTTTCCCCCCCCCCCCCTGCCCTATTGACTCCAGCTCATATATGATCATTTTCCTATAGTTCTCAAAACTATCCTCTGTCTCCAGGGCCCTCATTTATAAAATACTGCGTAGAAAGAATCCTAAATTTGATTTTACGATAATTTCTCAAAGTGCGTACGTGGGATTCATAGAACTCTCTTTTAGATGTGAAATCTATAAATTGCAATGATCTTGAAATTGTGCGCAGCTGAACAGTTTCAGATATCCGCCCTGTAAACAATGTCTAATTAATGTCCTAGACGTATAGAAGAGCACCTGACAATGTCCAAATCTTTGACAAGCGGCAAGAATGGCTTATATTTCCAAAAACCTGCAGCACTCGGGCAAATAAAAGTGCGCTCGTCTGCTCAGACCCTAACGTGGCGCTCAGCTCTTTGCCAAGTCAAAGACCGTTTTTATAAATATGAACGTTGCCGTGGATTGTTGCGTACGCACACTCTACGATCAAATCTGTGCGCACGCACGTTTTATAAACGAGGCCCCTGGAGTTGCCAGTTTAGGATGGATGCGTCAACAGGTTACCTGTGTGGTGGTGCTGTGACACAGTAGTCTATTGAAATTCAGTACTGTGCTCTTGGGTTTTAAGGCTTTCTTAGATGATTTTTTTTAGTCATGCACTTGATCATTATTATTGACAAGTGCATAAAATCAAGCATACAGCCAGACAATCCCCTTTGACAAATGTAAGTAGAATGTGGTGTACCAAAGAGCTCAGTGATGTTCAAGATGCACTATCCTAGGATGCCAAAGAAAGATGGCCTGCACAAAGCCCAGATCTGAGCCTTACTGAACACCTCTGGGACAAATTCAAATGCTGACAGGGAGTGAGACTGATGCTCATGTCTGAATGGGAGCTAATCTGCACAGCCATGCTACAACATCTTCCTAGAAGAGTTGAAACTGTTAATGAACCAATAGGAGGATCAACTATAGTTGGCCATGTAGTGTATGGGTAAAATAATGTACAATTTTAAATATATACTAAAATGTTAATGCAGAAAGCATAAAGCATCTGTAATTCTTCTAGTACATTTGAACAAATTAGCCATAGTGCTATGGTTACAACAATGAAAATATAATTTTGCTTCTAGATCTTAATTATGTTTGATTCAGTGCAACTCATTGTCTACACCGTTTTTTAATATTCTTTATTCCTCAGTCTGAATTTATTTTATGTTTTTTTAAATTGTGCAACTATTTCCAAGTTATTAGTTAGTAGCGTACCCTAGTGCAACCACTGCTTTATTACAATGATGCAAGCTGTCTCTCCTAGGGCTCAAGCCTTCAGCATTACCGCCACCATCTGGATCATATCGGAAGTATTTTTTCTGGTAAGCAGAGTACATGATTTGTGATATGTACAAAGTGCCAGACCTGCTGGTTTATCATCTTGAAAAAGCGCCTAAATTGACTTTTTTTTATCAACAGGCAGTGAATTTTTAATTAAAAACCTGCCAATGAAAGGGACATGAAAACGGATGAAAACTGACACTGACCTTGCCGTGAACCCTTTAGCTTGTTATAGTGTGAATCCTCCAGTGATCCCTGGACTGGCGTCCCTGACTCTGCAACACAACAGCCTACTGAAAGCCAATGAGGAGAAACAGCAGGTAAATGATGAGAATGGTATTTTTCACTCACTTACAGGGAGCTGTTGTATTTGCAGTCTGTGGTTTTCACAGTATGAGAGCCACTTCTCAGTAAGGCGTGAAGGACGCACGCTGTGAGGAGTAGGAGGTGAATGTGACTCAGTATTGATTCTTTGTTCTTGTTTGGGTTGATGTGATGTCTACGTGTGTGTACATGCGTTCAGTTGGTGTGGCTGCTCATTCAAGGTTTATTTTTTTGGTGTGACTAAGTACACCACAACTAATTCACTTTTCACACATACTGGGTATATCTTGAGGCATCAGATGTATCGGACAGTCCTGCACAGTGAGTGCCAGTGGTACAAAAAGCTATAGGTGGAGACGTTTCTAGTTTGGCAATCTAAATATTGGATGTCTACGTGTGTGTACATGCGTTCAGTTGGTGTGGCTGCTCATTCAAGGTTTATTTTTTTGGTGTGACTAAGTACACCACAACTAATTCAGATTGAATTAGAGTCACACTTTTCACACATACTGGGTATATCTTGAGGCATCAGATGTATCGGACAGTCCTGCACAGTGAGTGCAAGTGGTACAAAAAGCTATAGGTGGAGACGTTTCTAGTTTGGCAATCTAAATATTGCTGAAACTGGAGAGTTAAGGCCCATTCACAATAAGAATGATAACTATAAAAATAACCATAATGATAACTATATTATCATCCAAACCAGTGGCCAATAACATTCTGTTTATTATAAGCATGCTGCAGTTTTGTCTTCTGCTGCTTTAAATGCTCAAGTACTTTAAAACAGAATGGATTCTGGTTGACTGTCAATAATTGTATCGTTCATTAGCTGGAAAAAAAAATTCTGAAAGCAATTCCAACAATATGGCCTCTGCTATTCTTTTACATTTAGAATCATTTTTAGAAATATATCTTTATCATTATAGTTATCCTCCTTGGTGTGAAAGGGCCTTTACACAGGTCTTCTTGTAATTTTGTGCCCTTTTAGTGAGATTTTGAAACAGAAGTAGTGATATCTCTTCTTTTGTATTGTGACATGCTGAAAGTGATTATCGAAGGAAAACAGGTTACTCTAAGGCAGTGGTTCTCAACCAGTTTTGCTTCAAAAAGATTTGCACTCAAGTGGTGATGCTACAAAGCACCAAAAAAATCATACAAAAGTATGTATTTAAAATCACTGAGATGAGTATAATGAATTGTAAAGAATATACATTATTAACATGGCTTAATGGAAATTAGTAATGGAAATTAGTAACAAAGCTTCAATGAATTCTCGCAATGAATTCTGGCATCATTCTGTCAGCACTCTGAATCATTCTGTGTCCTTACTTTTAAATCTGCATTGCTTCGAGATCTTGGGCATTTCTGAATATTTTGTAGCGAGATCAAACTGAGTTCCTGTTCTGCACTGTTCACTCCAGTGCCCTCTTGCACAGATCCTTCTGCTGTTCCAAGACCTAATTCCCATCCGGCCTGAACTTTGTGCACTTTAAAGATCCCAAAAACCTACGTTCCTATACCTCAGGGGTGTCCAAACGTTTTTTAAAGGGGGCCAGATTCGATGATGTAAACACACCAGGGGGCCGGATGCTTCATATATATATATATATATATGAATTGTAAATTATGCTTGGCGGGCCACATATTGCCTACTGCATTTTCAATAGACAAGCTGTGGTCCGTTTGAAATTCATCCACGGGCCGTATTTGGCCCGCAGGTCAGACTTTTTGGACACCCCTGCTAGTTATTATATTTATTATTTATTATATATTTTACTTTTTGAAGGCACTTTACAAAGCCTATTCTCTATTTTACACCATGGCTGAGCATCCAGGCATAATGCTTAATGTCCAGAGGGGATGAAAATACAGCAGCCTGCCATCGTGCCTCAAACTCTTTGCTCCAATAAACAATAAATCTTATTCCTGAAGGCCAAGACATGCAGTTTAGTTCCTGACAGGCAAAGGAGATGATTTGACAGCAGTGTAGTTATTTATATTGTAATTTAGCAGACACTTTCGACTGGAAATCTACCTGCTACAGAGAATTTCTCCCTGTTGTATCATATGTCAACCCGATCTCATGAGAAAAGGCGACTATTTTAGAAGTTGGCGATTTCAATTATGATTTTAGGGGCATGAAGGTCTATCCCTAAAACTAACCCTCAGTGGGGCATAAGCAGATCATAGGAAAACGTATAAATGAGATCATACAAAGCCATAAATTCTCCAATTTATCAAAGATGACAGATGATGTTGAATGTTTTCATGATATCTTGTTTTTCCGATTCCAAATCAGTACACAATTTCACATTATATTATTAAGAAGGTGTTTGAAACCAACAACCAATGCTAGAGAAAACAGGTTTGTGTGCAAATGTACTTTTGGTCTAGTTTTGGTTTCAGTTCATAATAGATGATGGCTGAAAATATTCTCTAATAATTAGTTTGACTTTGCTGTTTGAATGGAATATCGCTACTACAGGTATGTGTAGCAGTGTTTCAAACGCACAGTTGGCTGTTTTTTCCTCGCATGAGTGGTCACGCGCCCTTTCTGTCGTTGCACATGAATTATTCCCACAGTCTCCGGATAGGCTATTAATGCGTTTTTTCGCGGTGCCCGCTGTCTTAATGCGTTTTCCCAGTTTCTAACAAATAATTCACTCTGTCTCGGGCGCGTGATGCACTGCAAAATTGAAAGATGGCGCGAAAGAGCTCTTGAGTCGGCGCGGCGCGTTCAGGTGCACACACCTCCAGCAAAAACTACGCACTCAGCTCTGTCTGGTGTCTGCTTCAGCCCGAGTCATTTTAGGTGCACGGAAGGGATAACGCTAGGCGCATAATCTCAACAGTACGTTCAGCTCCTCTGTATTTCCAAGGAAGACACGCAAAGGACTGCCATGAGCCGTCGTGTCTAGTGACCCGCTGGCGATGGGAACTGACCGGCATACTGATACGCTCCGCCAGCAGCGTCAGCATCCGGGATCGAGACAGACGCAAGAACACCTCGCCGCGCCACTTTGGTTTTCGTTAGAGTTGCTCATTTCTTTGCGTTTGTAGTATTTTGATGTTGGTCTTGTCGTCGCGCATGCGTTGCTGTGTAGTTGTAATTGCTGGAGCGCTTCTTCAGACTGAGTTTGGGCTACTGCTTCTCGGTCGATGATGAGAGGGATGCTGGTCGCTCGGGATCACTGGCGCGCGGGGATCTTGTGTCTCCTAGTGCTCGTGGCTTTGACGGTCGGTCGCAGCCCGCCAGCTCACAGGTAAAGCATAATGTGCTTGTGTGTTATCAGTCTGCCTGCATTCCTTGCGGAGCCATGTTAAACTAGCTTAAGATGGTTTGCTGGGCTTAGCTGGTCTCCCTGGTTTTAGAGAGGTTTTGGGCAATTTTCAGACGCTCAGGCTGAAAGCCAGATGAGCAGGAGATTGGCAAGGCTGAGGAACTAGACCAGCTTGGCCAGTTAAATCCAGCTTGGCTCTTCTACAAGTCCAGATTTTAAGATTAAGCTGGTTTCTTTCAGCACGATTGGGTCACAGTTTCTTAAATATCACACAATTCTTCCACAGTGTAAATGAACCAAGCAACATGTCATATGTCAAAGTCACCGTGGATAAACTACTCAAAGGCTACGACATCCGTCTCAGGCCTGACTTTGGAGGTAAAGGCGTTATATTGATTTAAAACACTTTTCCCTTCTCAATGATGGATGTGACCATTTTGATGGATCATTGACTGTCATCAGGCCATGTCGGAGAGATTGTGGTGTCTGTTTGCTTTGCAGGTCCTCCGGTTGATGTCGTTATGAGTATCGACATCTCCAGTATCGACATGGTGTCAGAAGTGAACATGGTGAGTCTACAAGCTACTCTGGTTGTTTAATAGATGGTGGGCTATTAAGGAAGGGGACATCTCTGTCAGCACAACCTATTAAAGGGTTAGTTCACCCCAAAATGTAAATTCTGTCATTAATTACTCACCCTCATGTCGTTCCAAACCCGTAAGACCTTCGTTCATCTTCGGAACACAAATTAAGATATTTTTGATGAAATGTGAGAGCTCTCAGACCCTGCAACGCAACTGTAATATTCCCAGGTCCAGAAACGTAGTAAGGACATCGGTAAAACAGTCCATGTGACATCAGTGGCTCAACTTCAGTTTTGCGAAGCTACAGGGAATACTTTTTGAGTGCAAAGAAAACAAAAATAACATAATTTATTTCACAGTCTTCTCCCCCGTGTTACGTCTTCCGCCATTTTGGAGAGTACCCAAGAGCGTAATCGACGTAATCAGCATTGTTTACGTTCGGGGGAGAAAGCGCGCGCATGAACATAATCTGCGTAATCAGCGTTGTTTACGCTTAGGGGAAAGCGTGCGTATGCATTGTGATACTCTTTAAAATGGCGGAAGACGTAACTAAGTGTTTTTTTTCTTTGGGTGAACTAACCCTTAAAGGCTACAGTGATGAGATTCGTGAGAAAGTGGGAGATTCGAGTCTGCTGTTGTAGTCCACTTAGGAAAAAGCTACAGGCTACTGTTTTCTCTCCTGCTAACATGCACACAAGCACAGCTAACTGTAAGATTAGACATTGTGTTCATTTTGCATTATGATTGTTTTGGCATTGGAACTGAACTGACATAAGCCTTTACTCTGACTTGGCAAAGAAGGACAAAATTAGCAATTGTGTGAAGAACATGCACACAAAACCCCACACCCACAGGTTGGAGTAGGTTGAAGTAATGGATGCTAAAACACAACAGTGATTTTAAAGGGTTAGTTCACCCAAAAATAAAAATTAGTCCATAAATTACTCACCATCAATTCATCTTAGGTGTATATGACTTTTTTCTTTCAGACGAATCCAGTCGGAGTTATATAAACAATTGTCTTTGATCTTTCAAGCTGTTTCATGGCACTCAGCGGGTGTTGCATGCATCAGTCCAAAAGAATTTAAATAAAAAGCCCATCCATAAAAAAGTGTCTCACACGGCTCCGGGGGGTGAACAAAGGCCTTCTGTAGTGAATCGATGTGTTTTTGTAAGAAAAATATATATATTCAAAACGTAATAATCACTTTAATGTAGCTTGCACCAACAGTTGTACACGGAAGCAGCTATGTCACCCTGAAATAGAAGTAAAGGTGATTTTTATGAAGATGATCATGATGGTCAATGGATTATAGGATGTGTAATTAGCTTAAGTTTATTGGCCTGTGTCCAATGAGTATACTGTACTATAGAGCAACCTTTTTGACTTCTTTGGGTTCCCCCCATTGTCCAACATATTATTATAAACCTTTTATTTTAACAGAAACTAAGGGCCAGATTTACTAAACAGAGCAAATTAGTGTGAGAAATCCCATAAAAACACAAATGGGAGTGGAAAATGTTGCTGGTGATCTACTGACAATGCGCAAATTAAAGAACATAGATGCAGTCATAATGACTAACCCAATCTACCAAGAGCAATGCAAATTACTGTAGGGTCACAAACAAGCAGAGCCGATGATAATCAGGTGCGGGTAATCTACTGACAACACAAAATGGGTTAAGATATTCTTGGGGGTGCAAATACCAGTAAAACTGACGACCGCAAATCTTTGTAAACCAACTTGCATAATTCTTTTAAATACTCTCCTCCCATACATTTTGTGTCTGAAAGGGAAACTCCTACAAATGCATAGGCAATAAGGTCAGCCGCAAAAGGTGTCCACACCTTTTCATCGCTATTGATTCACTGCGTGTCTTTAGTAAATCCTGTCTTTAGTTTTTTAACGTCAAAATGCAGTGAGAATGCTGTTAGTAAATCTGACCCTGGTGTGTTGTTATAAATAATTAACCACAATTATTTTTTTCGTATGATTCAATAAGATTAAAGATTCTGCTATGGTATGCTCTTCAAATTAAAAAAAAATTGAGGGAAAAAAGAAATACGATGTCAATGTACATATTGTTTTTTTATGTTTTTTTTTAAGAATACATTTTTAATATAATGTAATTAATCCTGTGACCTCTTTGGAAGTGTGCTGAAGGCCCCCGATGGGCCCCGATCCCCTGTTTGAGAACCACTGCTATAGAGGACACGCAAGTTCTCTTTTGTCCCCCCGATGATGGCCTTGAATTGGAGATTAATGCCAATCATTTTCTTTTCAAAGTGATAAAATAGTAGTAAAAATAACAGTAAAATGTGTTTTGAAATAAACTTCAGGTGTAGCCTTATCCATTTCCACTCTGAAGGCTGATGCACTCTGGGGGATGTCTAGGATACTTCAGGTCTAAGGTTGAGGTTGTCACTTTTGTTACGACAAGATGTCATTTTGGCCATGCTGGAAAAAGCTTTTTTTGTGAATTATGGATAGTGGGCCTGAACAAAAGTAATTTCTGTGGTGGTTTGCCATACATTAAATATTTTATTAAGTGGGAGGCCTTTCAGGGAGGATACATGGTGGTGGGAGTTAGTGAGGCGCAGCAGAGAGATACTTAGTGTTTCACTGTTTCCAGAAATTCTGTTTCTCTAGAAATATACTTTTAAATAAAATCTAAAATGATCAGATTAAATGTATGTATGCATACCACCTGGAGCAGTTTACGTCAGTTTCATCTCTTGTGGCAAAGTCAGGGTACAAGAAACCATCACAAAAGTTATTGTGGCGTTTGAAATGAATGATGCATTATGAGTTATAATGTAGAGTTGATTACATTCACCGTTGAAAGAACAGAAGGAATCAAAGCTAACTTAAAGTGTCCTTATGCACCATTTTGAAGTTCCGTATCTCATCAGCTTCTCATTATTGCTTTTTATTCAGGTCAATGGTGAATTTCACAAGAATTAATTTAGATTTGTTTGAATGTAATGTGAACAAAAGTCAAGTTTGGTGAGGTAGTTGCTGTCATTTTTGTATCTGCAGGAACTAGCATTAAGGTGTAGCTTTCATCAAGATCTGTTGTGATTTTTAGGGAGGTAGGCTGAAAAAATGTGATAAAAAATATGATTCGACATCTAAATGGTTTTTAATCAAGTCATTAATATTGTTTAAAATCACTGGATCAACATAAATACATGATGTTACACCTAATAATTTTAAAGGTTTGATCAGGTAGCAATAGAAATTGCAGATTAACACTACAGTGTACCATACCAATTTTTAATTTACCATATCGATTAATTTACTCAGTCAACTTACCGATTATTGATTGAAATTGAATATATTGCCAGATATTGGAAATTTAATAACTTGATTTTTACATTTACATACATCTAGATTAATGCTCACATCTGTGGAAACACTAATAATTTAATAAAACTATTTTTCTTTCTGAATATTATAATGTGACGCCTGAATTTACTTGTAGCATTTTAAACTCTTATTTCTAGTTTGTTTTTAATTGTAAGGACATAAGCATAGAAATGTAATAACAGTGATTATTAAACAGTGGTCCATTAAATGAAAATAATTATCAGCTTATTGCTATCAGCCAGAATTTTAATATCAGTGCATCCCAAGTGCTTTTATAAAATCAGATATTGAACTGTATTTGCCTCCCTGCAAATGTTCTCATGCCATTTCTCCTGCTTGCTTGCTTGAAATGAAAACACAGATACACTCTGACATGATTTTCATAACATTTCATGATTAAAGCGTCAGATATTGACAGATGTGTTTTCTGTTTCTTTGCTTTTTATTGCACAGAAAATCACAGGTTCAGAGAGCACTGCAAACCTTATCACAAGAACAGAAAGGTGATTTGGCAGAGAAGTGAGAAAAAGCAGAATTTAAATAGCCAATTTAGAAATGGCGTTAAACTAAAAGATAATCTGCTGCAGCTCCCCTAACAGCTGCAGAAGGTCAGCTGTTCTCAGTGCTGTCACATAGCCAGCTCTTGTACACTCCTGCATTGATTGTTAATGTACGCTGCTGGTTACCTCAGTTGCCCTCACTCACCACATCGTGACTGCAGTGTGAGGATACATGTTAAGTTTGCAGTAAAAGATGCTCGATGTGAGAAGTGGACTCTTGGCTGCAGTGTGATGCTGGTGTTTTTTTTTATTAACAACTGGTGTGGACTTAAGCAAAATAGACTTTTTACTTTTACTTTCTCAGTTCACATTCTATGTCCTATTGTAAATGATTGATCAGTGCATTATGTTCAAAACAAAAAATGAGTCTTTATAATAACAAATATAATAGTATCATCTTTCCTTTACATCACTTAGGCCATGCAACCTTATGCTCAGCTAACAAAAATATGTTCTAAGAACATTTTTGCTATGGTTTCAGAACATTAAAGACCAGATATTGAAACCAGATAACTCTGAGCAAACTTTCCATTAACGTTACTGGAAGAACAGCTGGGTGGATAATGTTAACCAATATTCAAATGGCTTGTTAAGCAATTGGATATAACCAAATAACCTGATTTACTTGCATTTGGTCTAACTTCATTCTGGTTAGGGCTGTGTCTATGCAATCATATATCAATATGCATTTCTTTTTCTCATGATATTTTACTTATATTGAAGTCCTGAAATGATTCATATCAATTCCTAAAAATGATATGAAATGAAAAATGAAAACACTATTTCATTCTTAATCTCTACTTAAGACTTTCATGTTTAATTCAGTGTGCTCTTTGCCATTTCTTTGTATTTGTTTGTGAAATTTACTAGCATTTTCTGAGTGAAAATTGTTTCTAAACCAAATTTTTTCCCCAGTATACCATTCAATTAATAAAAAAGCAATCGTCTAAATAAAGAGCATCTGAATTGCCATTAACTTTAATGCTGCAGCAACCTGCACCAAACCAAAGAAGATTGTTTTCCAGTGATTTTTTTCCAGCTGTCCTCAGTCTCATAGTTTCTTTTTTCTTTCTTTCTTCAATTTTTGTTCTTTTATTCTCTACTTTTAATCCTGTTGTGTTCCTCTCAAGTGAGTATCTCTCTCAGCCTCTATTCTTCTGTGATGTCTTCAGTGTGATGAGCACAGAGAAATGAGTTCATTTTAGAATGTACTGTCAGATAAGGCTGTGATACTGTAAGTATGGCCTACATTGTGTGTATACATGTATGATGTTGCGTTTCCTTTAGCATTTGTGTTTGTTTGTGTGTCTGTCAGGGTGCTCTGTGACGAAGTTGAGGTGCTGGAGTGTTGATTTTAAGCGGTTGTCAGGGGCAACAGCTGCTTCTAATAATAGAAGCTGAAGGAAGCATTTGTCCTAAGCGAACCTGAGGCACACCCATCCTCTCTCTCTTTCACATTTCTCTGGCTTTCTGTCTTCTGCCGCACTCACATAAATGCACTCATGTTGTCATCTTCATGGGACTGCACCCTTCCCGTCTAAAGAGCAGTTACATGTTTTATTTATAAATGAAGGTTGATATTATGAGAAAGATAATTTCATTGATCTTTTGATGTAAAATTATTAAAAACTATGAAAAAACTTACTGTACTCAAAACTTTTGCAATCCAAACCAGATATTAAGACCATGTGTGTAATGATTTCACAATTAATAAATATTTATGTGAGAAATATTTTATGAACTGTTTACACAGAAATATAGAATAATAATAACAGTAATTATAGTAATACATTTATTAAACATAATTTTATTTTAAACACACTGCTGTTCAGAAGTTTGTGGTCAATAAGATTTTTTAAAGAAATTATACTGTTATTCAGCAAGGATGCATTAAATTGATCGAAAGTGACAGTAAAGTCATTTACATATAAAGATTTCTATTTCAAATAAATGGTGTGCTTTTGAACTTTCTATTTATCAAAGAATACTGAACAAAAATCATAATGAAGGATCATCTTTCTGAAGGATCATGTGACACTGAAGACTGGAGTAATGATGCTGAAAATGTAGCTTTGCATCACAGGAATAAATTACATTTACATCATTTAATAAAATATGTTAAAATATAAACGTTTTAAATTGTAATAATATTAATGATGTTACTGTTTGTGCTGTATTTGTGATCAAATAAATGCATGGTGAACATAAGAAACGTCTTTCAAAAACATTAAAATATCTTACCAACCCCAATGGTAATGTATGTCAAAAGTATTATTTAGTGAGGTGATAAGGAGAAAGTATGATAGATACTATTATTCTTAATGCCAAATGTGGGCAAAACTGCATGTATCATCCATCCCTCCTGAAGGATCCCAAAGTTCTTGTCGCTTGTTATTTTGAACAAGATCTCAGTCATCTTAGTAGCATTTCTTAAATTCAGTTTAAGGGTCATGGATACATGCAGTACATTGTCTCAGAATAAAAAATGTTTTTAGGACATCCCCCCTCCCCCCAAAGGCATGTTATAAAGTGATTGCATAGGCATTTTAAAATCTGCAAACTGTGCTGGATGTGTGCTCTGTGAGAAGATTCTTAACAGAGACTTTGCAGTACATATGAGTATGGAGGAGCATTAGTGCTGGGACAGGACCTACCTGCACGCCTGTAGGGAAACTGAATCATCTGGAGTGCTTTTAGTACGTCACACATATGGAGATTACTAATTCATCAAAATTATTTTCATTTTTTATATGTTTAATGAAAAATGTTGCGTAGTCCCTGGGTTAATATTGATAGGATCAAATTTTACTGCATTGCAGCAAACAATGTCTTGTGCTAAACATAGGAATATGACTGTTACTACCCTAAAACACACAAACGTATGTCCAGATCTATTGCACAAATGCTTGTAAAAAAGGAAAATGACAGAAATTAAATTGCTTAAAAACATTTATTCAGTATAATGTATTCTCAATATTTTATAGCCACAACAGTTCAGATAGTCTCTTTAATTTGTTGTGTTATATTTTTATTTGTATCTTAAACTGTAAGGCAATAAATTGCACATGGCATTCAGTGCCGATTTCATTCTTTTCAGTTGGACCTAGAATTGTGGGAGATGAAACTGTCCTGTTTCGATCACAGTGTTGGTTTTCAAAGCTGCATAATGTTGATTCTGGCCTGCATTAGCTTCATAAGTTTTATCTGCCAATCAGTCTAAAATGTGACTTAAAACAGACACAGACAGATGCTGTGATTGTTTTATGGGGGTTTGTGAGTGTCTGTGAGAGACGGGGAGAATCCACTCTGTCTGTTTAACCTTCACTCTCATTTATCATGTTGGTTTAATGGGATCTCAACTTAATTTGTTTCACCACTTATTCAGCTGAGAAACGTGGCGACTGGGGGATGAGCAGAAAGCCTCTGTGCAAATGTGACTGCGTTTTTCAGTCTAACCTTAGACTTTACAGTTAGTCCCAGCACATTTGGGATCTTAAGAGACTCTTTCCTTTACACAGCAAACCTAAATGAAGTGCACAGTCATGTAAGTGGCAATTGCTGAGAGCAGAGCAGTGTTTGAAATATGGATGTACTGTTTGGATGGGATTTCATTTGGTTTCATTTAAGTTGGTGATTTAACAGACTTGATGAACTTGACCTCAAAGCAATGATGAATGCAGCTTTATTTATATTATTGTGGAGTATGAAGCACCAGGGCCACACAGTTGTTATAATTGTGCTGTTTTGTCTTGCAAAGGAGAGCTTGCCATCTTGAATGATGCTTTGTGATTTTACACATCTGCAGGCGGTGGCTGTATGACCTTCAGCTGAGAAAAACAGGGTTAGTGAGGTCTTGGCTAAGGGGAAGGGAAGCTTAGCCTCGAGGTGGTTGACATCCACTTAGATATGTCAGAGAAGGATGCAGATGTTCTCCCTGAGATTACAAATGCAGACAGAAAAGGGGAAAGAGATGGACAGCAGTGATCCATTTTAGTTTGTGACATATTTACTTTAAGTGTTAGTGGGGTCGTGTGTTTGCATATGCTAATAAGCATTCACGTTTTAACTGTTAAAACCACCGGAAACCCGTTCAAGTTTAATTTAGAATTTTTATTTTTATACTTTGCACATTTTTGACTTTGAAGTAACACTTAAGTCATTGTTAAGCTTTTATCAGAACAAATGTCACTTTTTGGGATGTTTTGAAGTGATTTTTGGTATTAAGGTGATTTGTAGTGGATGTATGAAGTCAGTTCTCTTCAAGTTAACTATGGACATGATGGGGTCATGAATTCTGAGCACATGAATGACTGAGCGAAGTCATATTTATGAGTGGGAAACTGGAATTGTTACTTTGAAAGGGACATGTTTATTTGAAACATTACCGAAAACACATATCTATATGGATATATACTGTAATTAACACTCAATATATCTATAATATAGATCACTGAGCAGGAAGCAAGTATGCATTGAATTATAATGAATGATTTTGCAAGTTATTTTTATTTATATGCTGTATTTCAGTCATTAAGTGGTAGAAATAAATAATTTTCATAATTTTGTATTCAGACGTACAGTTTGGTTTGTTGTTCACAATATACATCTTTTGTTTTGTTGTTTCCGACTTGAACACATGATTTCTTGTATAATGAATGCCACACTTGGAGGTCCGAGTTTTCCATGTACCCTTAAAGGCAGTGATGCACTTGACAACCAAAAAGAGTCTGAATACTTTTTGTCTTCATTTTGAACTGAAAATGTTTTCTTTAACATATTTTGTTTGAAATATGTGCATATGCTGCCTTTCTTTACGATAAAAGCCACTTGTTTTCTAATGCAGTGACAATCTGGCATCAATGTGGCTGAGGTGTGGAATGGAAGAAATGATCAGATTTTGTGTGTGTTTTTCAGGACTATACCATCACCATGTATTTCCAGCAGTCTTGGCGTGATAAGCGCCTGTCCTACACAGGGATTCCCCTCAATCTTACTTTGGATAACCGAGTGGCTGATCAACTATGGGTGCCTGATACTTACTTTATTAATGACAAGAAATCTTTTGTCCACGGGGTCACAGTGAAGAACCGCATGATTCGTCTGCATCCTGATGGGAATGTGCTCTATGGCCTCAGGTCAGTGAGTTTGTGTTTGTGCATCTTTTTAAAAATATATTTTTTGTGTCACTTCTTCTCTCTCTCTCATGCATTAGATTAATGTTTGATTGTTTTGTGAGTGTGCATCTTTACATTTATCTCTGTCTGCATGTGTATGCTGTATTTTTGGCTGACCCTATTCTCTTGGCTCTCCTGATGGTGCTTTTTTAGAATTGAAAGCCCAGTGAGAGATGTGTATCCTGTCTCAGTCAGGGAATATAGTAGGGTCTGTTTACCAAAGAAATATGAGTCTCTGTTCTGCTTAAACCAGGCTATTGTGTTTGCATCCTATTCATCTCAATGGCAGTTGCTTGGCTTGTGCAGAAGCCCTTTGGAAGAACACAATTTTAATTTTCCATCCATAGATCTTTTTGAGCCAATTGTAATTAGCAGAGCAAAGTTTGTATCTGGACCCTGGATTGGATTCATCCAGACAGCAAGTCGTTTATCATAAATAGTTATAAACAAATAAACAAAATAATTATAAACCGATATGTAAGAGAACAGAGAACAATGTAAATCATGAGTAAATTATGTATACTATTGCTCAAAGGTTTGGGGGTTTTAATGTTTTTGAAAGAAGTCAGAAAATATAGTAAAAACAATATACAGCAATATTGTGAAAAATTATTACATTTAAGATAACTGTTTTCAATATTAATATTTTAAAATGTAATTTATTCCTGTCATTACTCCAGTCTTCAGTCTAACATGATCCCTCAGAAATTATTCTAATATGCTGATTTGAGGCTTAAGAAACATTTCTTATTATTATCAATGTTGAAAATAGTTGTGCTGCTTAATATTTTTTTGGAAACCAACATTTTTTTCAAGATTATTTGATGAATAAAAAAAAAAAAATAATAAATTGTTAATTAATTATTAATAAAAATATTAATTAATTTATAACAAATTAAGTAATTATTTGTAAAAAAAAAAAAAAAAAAAAAACTAACACCAAACTTTTTAACATAGTGTATTTCCTTTTTTAACAAAAAGTTTCTCTACATTTTGTTAGATTTATGCTACAAATAAGAAAACTTTTTTTAAAAAGAAAAATAAATATGCTTTGATATCTTATGCAATTTTGCTTCTCAAGCTTCTATTACAGAAAAAATTGTATCAGTTCTGGTATGTTAAAGACTCTTTGAAATTGAAATAACTTTCAGTAGTCATTGTTAAATGTGCCAAAACATAAAATGAAAATATTAATTCAAGTCAAGTGTCTTTCTGCAGAAGGAAAGCTGCACTCCTATATTTCTTTCCCTACAGAGTGCAGAGTTAGATGTGCAGGTTTTGTCTGACCGATATTCCCTCTCTCTCTCTATCTTGCTCAATACTGCATAATTTATATGTAATGTACTGTGCCTGAGAGGTATGGACATGTGCTGCTCTATAGCATTATGTACCTATGAGTGTGTGTCCATAAATATATGTGATAACGGATTAGATAACCATCTCTCTGCCACTCAGAACAATACAGTATAATAAGGTAACCAAAAATGTGTTTTTGTAGGGGTGGAAACGTGTATTTCTTACTGTGTGTTTGTCAGGAAAAAGTGCTTTTTACCTAAATTAACCCAGGACTGCAGAGTGAAGAAGCAATTCCATCATAAGTTGTCTAAAAGTGCAGCAGTCAAGCACTGAAAGGCCACCGCGTGTGTTTCCCCGTGTTAATTAAAGCTCAGTGTAATTAAGATCCAGCCAGAGGCATTTCAAAGAGGGGCTGCAGACATGACTGAGACGACATTAAGGCAATTACAGAGGAGAGGAGTAAAGAGGGATGAAACGCCAGAGTGGTATAAGGAATGCAATGTTTCTGCACTGATGTTTATCCAGCAGCTTGTGAGAGAACATTTCAATGATGTGAATAAACAATAAGCAAATATTAGTGCATATTATTAGCCAATTACTTGCATCTGTTTCTCTTAACAGGGGTTGATTGAGATTATTTCATTTGTTATTTTGTTATATGAAGAAGTACGTGCTTGTCAAATCAATATTAGTTCAGCATGAATTATAGTTCAATGCTTTGAATATAAATCTCATTACAGGTGCAAGCAGGTGGCTGTAACACCATCTGCTCTGAAATGTACAACTTAAATGTTTCACTTACCTCCTCTGACATCTGGACAGAGTTCACATTTTCTAAAATAATAGAACGGAAGTATGTTTGATCAGTCAGACTCAGACTCATACTTACCGTTACTGTTGGCCCACTAAGCAACTGCTTGATTGTAATAGTATTGTGTTGTGTTGTGTTTTTCACCTCATATCTGTAGGATAACTACCACAGCTGCATGCATGATGGATTTGCGGAGATACCCGCTGGATGAGCAGAACTGCACGCTGGAGATTGAAAGTTGTAAGTGCTGTTTGTGGTTTAACCTTTAACAACCATGAACAACGCATTTGGCTTGATTGTATAATCACACATATATCAGTAATAATTGAGAAAAGCCGTGAAGATGATTCAAAATCATTATAGTTTTGTACCAGATGAAAACACTGAATAGACAAAAAGTGGCTTTTGAATCAGTATTTAGTTTATTTTAGTTTTCTTATCATTGAACACAAGCTGTCACAACTATCACTGGCCTAACGTTCACAACAATTTGGTGTTTTTCCCAAACCATAGTTCTAAGGAACATTTACAAACAGAGTCGCAAAGCTCTGTGAACTGTGATTAGAAGCATAGTTTCTAGTTAGTACGGTGTGGATGTAGATTATGCTTTTGCAAAATAAGCAAGCTAACATGCTTTACAATCTATATCTTTCATATACACAGATTTCATTTTAAATCTTTTGGTTGCCAAGAGAATGAAATCTTTGTTTTTGAAGGGTGTGCATGGGCAAATATGTTCTACCAATCCGAGGGAACCCTCAGTATGACGTAAGCGGCGGGAACATGTGATTGAATCAAACACCTGGAAATAAAGCAAAACAATGGAAAACTAAAATAACAAAGTAGTCCTCCGATGCCATGTTTGTTATTTACAGCATAATCTGACATTAATTAGATTTTAAACAAATAAATTAGCAGACGTTATTACTCCACTACTTGTGTGACGTCATTAACACCAATTCTATGTTGAACCAATGTGGTTTGAACAACTAATGTGTGACAGTTATTACAGTTTGTGAAACAGCTGTGACCAGTTAATTTTTCCAAAGATGCATTGTATTATGGTGGTTAAGCAGCGAATTATGTTGTTGTATGGGAAACGCACTCCAGGGCAGATGTAGGGGCCATCCACACAGGAGACGTTGCTGTATTCTGTCTGCTTTTTAAAAAAATTATGTACATATGAAGCTTTTGCATCACATTTTTTCAGCATCTTATGCATTTCTAAGACGCACACATCTTGAGTGTCTCCTGCACTCTGTTACTTGTGTTCCAACTGTTTTTAACAATATGAACATGTCCCATGTGAATGGGACAATATAGTAAATCAAACTTATATTGCTCCTTACAGTAGGTAGGATAATTGCCTCTTACATAATTTACATTTGAGCCCAGGGGCATGATTGTATTATTTTTTCACATTATTATTTTGAATTAATAGCACTAAATTAATTTGTTACATTGACAAAAAATACTGTATATATAGAGAGAATGAATGCAGAGGAACTTTTTTATACAACACACCACTAACTAATACATGCTACCAACATGCTAGTCCAGTTTTCACTGAAAGTATTTCATAAAGATGCTGAAATTTCTTTATTGCATGCAGTTGCATGACAATGCCGCAAAAATACTGGTGCAATCAGTTGTGTAATCATAATGCATTTATGCATTATCTCATTTATCATGAAAAACACCTGCAGAGAATTTGGCTGTGCTGACTAATCTCGCTGTTTCATCTTTTTTTGTCCCTGCGTCTGTCTTACTCTGTCACTCTTTCTTTTTGCACTCTTTCCTCTCCTCTACTCCATCTCTTTTGCACTTTGTCTCTCTCGGTGTGACAGACAGTGTTTGTAATTGGGTGGCTGCTCTGCTGGGCAGACAGCTGTAGCCCTGTGAGGTTGCTGTCATGTCAGAGCTCTGAGATGCATATAACAGCATGATGAAGAAACCACAACACCAGCATCACAGCAGACATAAACCATGTCACTTTCACCACATACACATCATCCATGGGACAAGACAAGATCAGACTCACTGTAACGTTGGCAAAAACACTTATAGGTTGCTCTTAAAGGGATAGTTCACTCAAAAATGAAAATGGTCATTTACTCACCCTTGTGTTGTTTCAAAAAACTGACTTTCTTCTGAGGAACATAAAATATTTAAGAATGTTATTACCATTGACTTCACTTGTATGGACAATTTCTCAAAATATCTTAGTGATTGAATAATTGATGACAGAATTTTAATTTTTTTGGGAAGAATATTTTTTTAAACAAATCAGGTCAGTAAACAGGTGCATTTAATTTTGTGAATTTTGCCACCTTTACAAACATTCTTTTTTAACAAACCAAAATTAGATATGTCAGTACAGCTTAGCAATAAACATTAAAGCATTCAAAACTATATAAAAACAATATAAACATAATATGCCAGGTAACAGGGTTGCAAATTTAGCTTATAATCAAATTTGTAGTTATTGATAAGCTTATATTTCATGTAAAATATAGAAACAAATTTGATCATTTTTTCTTACAATTACTTGGGCAGTAGTAAGCTAGATATAGATAGATCTTTTGTTTATTTCATTCCGGGTTTTTTTTTTTTTACATTTTGTTATAAAGAAAAACATGTAACAGGGCTTAATGCAAAAAGTGGAACAGTTAAATATTTTGGTTTCGTTGGTTGACTTAATATTTAAATACAATTTATGAATATCAATATCAATCTGAATATCTATTTAGATTATGCAACAAATACAGCGTTACATGTGATTTTGGTACAGTTAATACAGTAGGAGTGGAACAGGCAAAAAAAATCATTTTGGGACAGTCATGGGACACCAGAGTGTATTTCTATTTGTAGAAAACAGTGACAATTAATCAAACATCACAAATTTTACATGCAATTTCAGATTCCAACATTAAAGAGAAGAGGACTTAAAATGACAGAAAAATTCAGAGAGCATTGCAGACTGGGAAGAGTAGACCTTCATGAGGATTATCGCTGTGCTTCAGTCACTCAGGACTCTAGGCTGATGTTTCTTTTGATTGAACTTAATGAAGAACAGGAAGAATTCACCATCACAAGACTTCATCCTCTAATTAAGCTTTAATGTTCTGCAGTACTGTGCTCTCCTGGAGATAAGCACAGACAGTCTGCAGGGACAATCTTGTCAGTTAGACCTGCACCAGACCTCTCACAGAAGTGTTCTCACTGCAATCACATGCTGATTTACACCACTGACAACAAAGACTGTGGGAATGTGAGAGACGCAGCTCTCCCTTTGAGCCACTATGATGTTTTGTGACTATACAGTGTGGAAAAAAACTATTTAGTCAGCCACCAATTGTGCAAGTTCTCCCACTTAAAAAGACTTTGACAGCTCTTTGGTCTTGGCCATGATAAGGTTTGGAGTGTGACTGTTTGAGGTTGTGGACAGGTGTCTTTTATACTGATAACGAGTTCAAACAGATGCCATTAATACAGGTAACGAGTGGAGGACAGAGGAGCCTCTTAAAGAAGAAGTTACAGGTCTGTGAGAGCCAGAAATCTTGCTTGTTTGTAGGTGACCAAATACTTATTTTACCAAGGAATTTACCAATTAATTCTTTAAAAATCCTACAATGTGATTTTCTGGATTTTTTTTTTTCTCATTTTGTCTCTCATAGTTGAGGTATACCTATGATGAAAATTACAGGCCTCTCTCATCTTTTTAAGTGGGAAAACTTGCACAATTGGTGGCTGACTAAATTCTTTTTTTGCCCCACTGTATGTGCATTTGTGAATGTTTCTGTCCCTCTTTTTTTCTCTCAGATGGCTACACCACAGATGACATTGAGTTCTACTGGCAGGGAGGACGTTCAGTGACGGGGGTGGACAACATTGAGCTGCCGCAATTCTCTATTATTGATTATAAAACACTGTCTACGAAAGCGGTGTTTGCCACAGGTGCAGTGCTCTCCCTGCATGTTCATAAGATGAATAGACATCTTTAGAGATGAGTCAGCCCTCCTCTGTCCTGCAGAACTACTGTATGCCAAGATTGCCTTCAGTTCAAAACTGAATCATTCAAATGAAGTTGTTTTTTATTTTTTAAGCACAGAAAATGCTATGTGTGTAGTTGTAATGCTGTTCTGATTTTAAAGAAATGAAGCACTTGGCTGTTACATAAAGTCTGGTCCAATTTGCAGCTTGTTCTCGTCAAGACCTGCCCACTTAGACAGGAATCTGACTGACTGACTGACATGTTAAACAACCAGCCACACGGTATACTGTATGCTCTACCATTAGTACGATTTTTTTAAAGAAATTAATACTTTTATTCAGCAAGGATACATTAAAATTGATCAAAAGTGACAGAAAACAAACAAATGCTGTTCTTTTGAATTTTCTGTTCATTAAAGGATCCTGAAAAAATATATCCTTGTTTCCATAAAAATATTAAGCATCAAAACAGCATATTAGAATGATATCTGCAGGATCATGTGGCTTTGAAGACTGGAGTAATGATGCTGAAAATTTAGCTTTGTCATCACAGGAATAAATTACATTTTAAAATACAGTATATTAAAATAGTAAACTGTTATTTTAAATAGTAATAGTATTTCACAATATTACTGTTTTACTGTATTTTTGATTTAAAAAAATGCAGCCCTGTGGAGCAAAAGAGACTTCTTTCAAAAACATTAAAATATCTTACTGACCCTAAACTTTTGAATGCTAGTGTACTGTAAGGTTTCCCTTCTGAATGTGTTTTTGTGTGCCACACTGACAGCACTTTCATTTCTCACTTTCAGGGTCATATCCTCGTTTGTCTCTCAGTTTTAAACTGAAGAGAAACATTGGATATTTCATCCTGCAGACCTACATGCCTTCAACATTGATCACCATCCTGTCCTGGGTCTCTTTCTGGATCAACTATGATGCTTCTGCTGCAAGAGTTGCGCTAGGTGTGTGTGTGTGTTTGTGAGGTCACATAGTGCTTCACACCATCCAAAGTCATTGCCCTTCACCTCACTTTTTCCAATACTTCTTAAATTTACTTTTGATGTCAAACAGTTTCTAAATAAGATTTTTGAAACATTGTAATACTGACTCTCTTTAGGAATCACCACCGTTCTGACTATGACCACAATCAACACTCATCTTAGGGAGACTTTACCCAAGATCCCTTATGTGAAGGCCATAGACATCTATCTGATGGGCTGCTTTGTCTTTGTGTTCCTGGCCTTGCTTGAGTATGCCTTCGTCAACTACATATTCTTCGGCCGGGGTCCACACTTGCAGAAGAAAGTGGCAGAAAAAGCTGCAAAAAGCAACAATGGAAAGAGTCGGATGGAGAGTAACAAAGTTCAGGTGGGTCTTTGACCTGTTCTACACTTCTTAAATATTTTTTTGTAATTATTTGTGCTGTAATCTAACTCTCACTTTAAAGGGATTCCCTGATTTTTAGTTTTAATTATAACATATTCAGACAAAATAGTGCAAAATAATCATATCAGCCATAACAAGAAAATAACTATCTTCCACAATTTAAATTGTTCTACTGTATGCATCCCTAAATTCTATTAAGGTTTTATGTATAAACATTTTTTTGTGAGAAGAATCACTAAAGCTTACCTCTTACTTAACTTTGCTAATATTCTGTTTTTATTTATATCTTTTTTCCATTAAAGTTTGATGTCCATGGAAACATTCCCCTGACAAACCTTGACCTGCGCCTTAGTGGAGCAGAGATGTTAGGTGCTTTTGGGGACCCAAGGAACACCATGTTCTCTTATGATAGTGCCAGCATCCAATACCGTAAGCCCCTTACAGGTCGGGACCTCTATGGCCGGCCCACCGCCTCTGTCGAGAGGCCAGTGGCACGAAAAAAGAGTCGTCTTAGGAGGCGAGCCGCTCAGCTAAGGGTGAAGATTCCAGACCTGACAGATGTAAACGCCATCGACAAGTGGTCACGTGTCATCTTTCCCATCACCTACACCTTCTTTAACTTAGTATACTGGCTGTATTATGTCCACTAGGGAGCAGCACTGACTCGACCCAGCCATTCACACATCAGGTCAGGCTCTCTTACCCTCCTTGTGGTTTTGACCATCAGTCAGACGGGAGGAAAAGGTGCATTCTGTAGGTAACCCTTCTCTGTAAATTATTAAACTATAAAGAATATATCATATAAATCTATATTATAATTTTGAAATAAGAAAATAATAAGCTAAAAAAATTACTACCCATCTTTTAAAGCTGTTTAATGTAGATTATGTCACAAATATTAGTTTAAAAATTGTCACTGGATTTTTGCACTTTGCTTCTGTAGGATGAGTTTCACTGACTGCTGAAAGTACAACTTCACAATGGGGAGAAAAAAGGCTATCTTTAGAGACGACTGCACTGCAGCTGCATGCCAGACAGGCTTAAATCTTTAAAACAGCATTTGGAAGTTGTTTTAAGGTCTTAAAGAGATGTTCTTGGTTTATTACAAGCTCTATCAACAACATTTGTGCCATAAATTTCATTACCTCACAAAATAATTTTAACTCATCCCTCAGGTTTTTATAATAAATAGTTGTAATTTTGAAAATAATTACAAGTTACTTTTATCTGGTACTTTCACATCATGTAGATTTTATTAAAGCTTTACCCCTGTGTTTTGCAACAATGTAAGCATTTAGTTATTCAGTATAGTAAAACTGTTTCTCTTTGAGGTCAATGTGACCCCAGCACAAGATTGGGAAGGTTAGTAAGTCTTGGAGCGTCAGCCTAATTCTGTTCGGTATTTGTGGTATTAGTATTTAATTGTGGTTACTGTAAGACACTAACAATGGAAGTACATAAACCAGGCAATTGAAATAATAATACCACACAACATAAGTTATTCATATTGGCATGACATGTAATATTACTCAAGGGTATCACACGTAATCAAAATCAAAGGTACTTTCAAGGCATTTTCCAATGCCCTGCATTAATATTCACTATATTATAAATGCAGAAAATGTGTTTGGCATGTAAATAAATTGCTTGCTTTGCAACACTATTTTTGTTTCAGTGACAAGTTGACTGGGACATGAGCTGGTTGTTTGTTGTCCAGGAGTGAATTAACTTTATGAAATTCTCCATTAAAGCTAATCAAAGAGATCTCAAGACTGGCAACGTAAAAACAAAGCATATTCACACGTGCTCAAGCCAGAATCAGAAACACATAAAAGTGAAGTTATATGTAACATTTTATAGGCCATCTATCACTCATACGTTGTGTTTTGGCTTGGGATGCCTACAACAGCAAATGCCAAAAAAAAAAAAGTAAAATATTTTTAAAACTGTATCCTATTATAGGTGTATGATTTCTGTAATTGCACTCGTGCTATTGGCCAGTGCGGAGTGGGTTGAAGGAGAATTAACTGTCACTGAATGAGACAAGGTGCTTGTATTTAAGTTTATGTATTTAAGGCTGGGACTGCAACCACAGTTGTTCTTAAGGATACTTTATTTTAAATCATAGACATTTTGAATATATTCAAATAAAATATCTCACCAAGCATAATGTGAAGAGCTGATTTTTGTACTCGATTGCTTTCTTGTTGCATTACCACATGGCATTGGAATTTTGTGAGCTGGGAAGTCTAATAATCAATGATGGACGCAGAATTAACTGAGGAATAAATAAAAAAGGGTTAATTGTTCTCATAAACCAATCGCCCTTGGCTCTTCAGGGAATGGAACTATTAGGATGATCTGACAGTAATGAAGACAAAATCCCATTCATGCTACAAACTTAGATTTAATCCACTTCAACATGTGCAAAATGGACACGTAAGCTTTAACATATTAATCAGGATTACAAGTGAGTCATGTGTTCACATTATCCCATGAAAAGGTGTGGTTTCTGCCTTTTAGTCATTATGTTGACTTGCATTGGCAAAAAAGGAACAACCCACCACTCAGGTGTTGTCATTTAATGTTTTAGTTACTTTATTTAGAAAGGCAACTTTTTGGGGTGTGAAACCAAAATGCATTGCATGGAGAATTGAAAGCAAGATCAATGTCAGGCATTTAGATTTTCATTGTGCAAAATACTCTGCCTCAAAACGGCCCTACCACCATTACCTAGGCAACTTCAAGTCAACTGTAGTCCATAATGATGGAGCTTGAACAATAATATTCAGTCTTTCATGAAGACCTCAGGTAGGAGACACTGATAGGTTCCCGGTTCTGTCCGTAAGGTTTCTGTTTGCCCACATTCAGACATTGTCTCATAATACAGACCTCAGAAATCCTCTCTTTGAAAGTTTGATGGCACAGAACAATCTTTGTTTGGTATCTTCATTTCAACTGCAACACAACCTAGAATAGGACACACAATGCCATGCAGTAGAGTTAAGTGTAGGTGCCACCACTGTCTATTTACAGTCCATTAAACTTTTAACATTTTACCTGATAAAAACTCAACTCCAATCCTTTAATTAACATATTGTGAAGAAAAAAGCTGTGTTTGTGATAAACAAATCCATCATTAAGGTGCTTTTAACTTCAAACTGTTGATTCCAGCCAAAATACCAGTCCATATCCATAATTCATAATAACGCTTCCTATATATAGGATACAGAATATACCCCGTTGTGTTCTCACATCAAAATCTACCAACATATTTGTTTAGAATTGTTTTCACTTGTAAACAGTGCTTTATCTGTGCATATTTCTCTCCTGATTCAGACTTCATTGAATAAAACAATAATATGGATAGAGGACTCGTATTTTGGCCAAAAGCAATGGTTTGAAGATAAAAATGGCTTAATGATGGATTAGTTTCTTACAAACATGTACAGATTTTCACTGATGAACAGGAGTTGTATGGATTACTCATTATTGTGATTGTTTTATCAGCTGTCTGAACTCTCATTCTGATGGCACCCATTCACTGCAGAGGATCCAAATTTCTCCAAATCTGTTCTGATTATCAAACAAACTCATCTATACCTTGGATTTTCATTTTTGGGTGAACTATTCCTTCAAACATGACCTTATTAGCAGCCTCTAGTGCACTGATGAGAGTGTGCAGCTCCTCTTTGTTCATTTCTATAGTCACCAATCTTTGAATTCCATTCTCCTTCAGGTCCAAACTGAGATTTAGCAGAGGAATGTTTAAAGCTGACAGCTTGTCGCTGGATAATGCCAGCTAGAGTGAGATGCAAGGAAAGGGAAGAGGACGTAAGAAAGCAACTAACAAATGGAAAAATCAATAGATGATCTTATCATTATGATTAATGCATGCCTGTATGTACAGTATGTGCTTGGTGCACCTTTAACTGCCAGTTGAAGTCCTGTAGCTGTGTGCTTGAGATGCCATTGGTTCTGTCCACCAAAGCATGTCTGATCTCATCAAACCTGGAGCGCACACACTGGAGAAGAGCCTCGGCGCGTGCCGTGTCCAAATCACTCAGTAGTTCCTGGATCTTCAGACATGTGCACAAAATAATCAATCTCACAAATTATTCAGTCATGTTTAGTCAACCACTAAATCTACTTGAACACTGACATGATTCTGTAAACAGTTTAGACATGTTTATACTGTATGTATGGTCACATTCTCATCTACTCACCTCTTGATCAAAACAACCCCTTCCTACGCCAAAGTGGATAAAAGAGGAGAGAGCATTCATTAACTCCACCCATTCTGTCAGACTCCACCGTTCACCGTAATCTGTTCTCCTCGGACCACTCTGGCCGCACACCCCATCCACCACCCTGTGTATGAGCTTACATTGGAAATAAGGAGTTGAAGCTTGCTCAAGGGCACCTCAGTTAGTAACGAGGGTGGAAGAGAGAGATGTTCATTCACCTACATTTCCTGACGGTACCGACTGAGAATCGAACTCGCATCCTTTGGGTTACAAGTCGGACTCTAGCCATTACAATGATTTTTGTCAGTTTTTGGTGTGTTACTGTCAAAGAATGTAATAAGTCATATACTACTGACTGTATTGTAGATTTGGTAATGTTGCTAAAGCAGAATAATGCTAAAAGTTTTCTTAAAACTCAAATATTGCATTGCAAATACTAAGCTGCATAATTGTATATAATTTAAATTTCTCGGGTGTGGTTGACCCGGTAAATATACAATTAAAAATATGAAATTTGTCCACTGCTATGATATGGCATGCATTAGATATATCTATATCTAATGCATGCCACAGGGAGCATTTGGGCCAAAACATACTTCAAAACTTTTTTTTTTAATGCAGCCTAGTACCCATAATCATAATGGGTCTCCTTCAAACATAGCAAGAATCTTTTATAATCATTATTATTTTATGCATGTATTGATGATAGCTCTCGGGGACCGCAATTTTAAACCACAGATACCAAAAGTATGAATCTAAGTTAGCTTTTATGGTAAATAACCCACAACCCAGAAATTAACTATACATCTAAATAACAGTATCTCGTTTAAATTTATTTTCACAAATTATTAGACGGTTTCAATTACACAATTTTGAGTCACTGCATCTATTTGTGCATATGTATTATTTGATAAACAGTATTATGTGTAGGAAGCTGCTGTTACTTACTTTAGGACATTGTTCAGATGGTAGTTTTTCGAGCAATTTGATCATCATGCTGTCAGTCGTCTTCCTCGCGCCAATGATGTCCGCTGATCGAGCGGCACGTGACTTCAGGATGTTGCTGCACTCTGGGATTTACTAGCGATACGTTTTACATGCTAATTACATTTACGTGTTAAAGTCTTACGAACTATTTCAGTGCTGTCACATTTACACATTACCGTCAACTTAAAACGACATCCGGAAGTACTCGTTGTATTATTTGATAAACAGTATTATGTGTAGGAAGCTGCTGTTACTTACTTTACTTTAGGACATTGTTCAGATGGTAGTTTTTCGAGCAATTTGATCATCATGCTGTCAGTCGTCTTCCTCGCGCCAATGATGTCCGCTGATCGAGCGGCACGTGACTTCAGGATGTTGCTGCACTCTGGGATTTACTAGCGATACGTTTTACATGCTAATTACATTTACGTGTTAAAGTCTTACGAACTATTTCAGTGTTGTCACATTTACACATTACCGTCAACTTAAAACGACATCCGGAAGTACTCGTTCATAACATTTCAAATTAAAAGTTCAAAATTATAAATTAACAGTAAACGCATTAACTGTATAGATTTATAGATATAAGTATGAAATTGGATCCTAATTTAAAATAAATAAATATTTATTTATTTTTACACAACTGAACTAAAGCATTTTCAAAAAGACAGGTTTTGTTCACAAACTTTCCCCACATCTTAAAACAAAAAGACTAAATTTAAATTTAGTCAGTACAAGATGTAATACCCAGAAATTATATATTTTTCTCAAAATCCTTTGAAAGTACTGGTAGTTAATTACGGGTTTATACATTTTACGTTCAAATAAAAAGATTCATGTTTAGTTTCGATTGCCAAAGCATGATAATACGTGTGGCACAAAGAGAAACTTGTGTGTGTGTGTGTGCCTGTTTTTCTATTCTGGTGGGGACTTAAACCTGAATACACACAGACTCATGGGGACTCGTGTCACGGTGGGGACATAAATTGAGGTCCCCACGGGTAAACAAGCTTATAAATCACACAGAATTAAGTTTTTTAAAAATATAAAAATGCAGAAAGTTTCCTGTAAGGGGTATGTTTAGGTGTAGGGTTGGTGTAGGGCAATAGAAAATACGGTCTGTACAGTAGAAAAACCATTACCCCCTATGGAGAGTCCCCACAAGGATAGCAAACCAGACGTGTGTGTGTGTGTGTGTGTGTGTATGTGTGTGTGTGTGTGTGTGAGATGATGATGATCAGAGAGCGCGCGCAGGATCCTCAGGCGCTCTAGAAGGGCTCACGCGGTAGCCTACTCCGATGCAGGTCACTGTAAGCCATATGGCTTATATAACCCTTAAATATTATAACTGAAAAGCTGATGCATGATTTGTACTGGAGCTTACTCTGAAATGTGGCCAAGTTCATGAGTCGACGGTAAGTTTAAGGCTTTGTTATCTTAAATGTGCGTCGGCTGCTGTCTTTCCCCTCCTGACGCCTCAGTCTTGCTTGGGTCCTTTAAGAAGTGCATGTTTATCTCGGGCCATAAAGCCGACATAAACATTTTATGATTTTACACTCCTTTTTTTCACTTGAGATCACACACACACACACATCTATTGTACACGCTTCAAATGTGTTTCCGGATGTGTGAAAACGGAACTTTTTTCTTTTTAAAACCAAAATTTGAAGCATCAAGATACTTTCATCACGATCTTTTCGCGTCTTATGAGCAGCACAAGATATGCTGATGTACAAATATTAAATAGCATTAATATTTCGCTGTAACACAGACACTCCGCATTAACAACGAAACATAAATATGACGTTTAATTCTTTAATTACTGCACCATATAATTTATCAGTAGCTACCGGAGCTTAACGTACATGTGTTATTTTTTATTTTTTTGGGGGGGGGGGGACAATGAATAGTGAAAAATTTTATTTTATTT